CCAATCTGCAGACTGGAATGCTTGGAAAGGGGGAGCTCTAAGGACATTGCTTATCCCCTGTGTCAGTGTCTGGGTTAGGGGACTAGAAGGAGTCACATTTGTACAAGACATGGCCTAGGACTACATCTTGGTCCTATCTAAACCTATCTACCACAGGTCCATCTAAAAACAGCATGGTATAACTATTCTTTCAGCATCACAGCAGCCTCAATACACTAAATGTGTTCTTAGGTGTAGCAGAGAAATAGTTTTTGATGGAGGGACAAGAATTCAGGTGTCTCCTGTGAGCCTTTAGAGCTAATCCTGGGCCCCTATACTCTTGCATGTTGCTCTGCAATGCCCAGCCACATCAGAAAAGGTGATGATCCCTGCTTACCCTGCCACTGTCTCTGGAATGGGCTGCACAAACAGACTGTCCAGCAGTCAATCAGTGGGTGGACAGACAGAAAGAGATATTCTTGGCTGGAAGGAAAGAGGGAAGAAAAAGGATTTTAGACAGTGTACCTGTAGGATTAGGAAATCCTGACTCAGGTTTCTAATGCCTAGATTTTAATTTTCATATTTAATTCTGAGAAATTTTTGGAACCAGCAATGGCTTTGATCTCCATAGATGTCTCCATACTTTCTCCATTCAGATATAGTTGTGTGCCTGCTCTTTTGTGTATTAAGAACAAAATGTCAAAGCTTGTTGCTTGGGATGAACAAGACATTGTGCATGTGTTGTTTCTAAAGGTCAAAAACCAGATATTGAAAAAAGAGTTTATGTAAGGGGGAAGAATGAAACTAGCTGTTGTATTATCCTTTTTATTTACAGCTGTCAATGCAAAGTTCTCCATATTTTGACTGTCAATACAAACATAGCAGTAATCCTCAGGAAAGACATTTCCATCTCCTCCTGCTGCATCTTTCCAGAAAAGTCATCTAGTCAAATGTCTTTTGTGGCAGGTCTGGAGAGTCATCAGTTTACGTATAAGCGAATAAAGGGATTAGCATTCTCCAGTGGCTGAAGAAGGACAAGGAAATGAGAAGAGGAAGGGAAGGGAACCATTTGGCAGAACATCCCATATAAAGCTTGTCTTAACAATGCTTTTATATCCGTGTGTGGTGCTATCTCTGCTCAGCAACATTCAGAATGCTTCCCTAAAACAGTTCAAGTTAACTCAGACAGAACAATGCATCCACATCAGAAATGCAGATGCTAAATGTGGACCACTTGGGATGTAGCAGGTGTTAGTGTGGGGGTGCAGTGCATTTTCAATGACATAATCTCCCAACCATTCATGTCAGATAAACACCATGTTCTTCATTGTAGGCTCTTCCTGTAGGAAGTGACCCAATATCACCAGTCCCACTTCTTGCCAATGACACCGGAGAGTATCTGCTGCTGTGCATCACCCCACCATGTAGAACCATTCACTGAGAAGTAAGACAGCCTGCCTGGCCATTACTGCCTGGTCACTACTGTCCTCAAAAGAGCCAGGAAGTGAGGGCATGTCTCATACTGTTCCACCTACCAAAGGCTTTTTTACCCACAATTAGCTGTAAACCTGGAATAAACTCTAAATAGTGAAAGAAGGACACTCCAAATACAGAAATTAGGAGCAGTAGGAACAGATTCCTGTGCTAGAACAGGTCAAAAAGATGCT